TGGAGTGCAGTGGCACGATTTCCACTCACTGCAACCTCTACCTCCCCTGTTCAAGCAATTCTTGTGCCTCTGCCTCCTGGGTAGCTGGGACTACAGGTGCGTGCCACTGCACCTGGCTAATTTTTGTATTTTTAGTAAAGACTGGGTTTCACCACGTTGTCCAAGCTAGTCTCAAATTCCTGACCTCAGGTGATCTGCCCGCCTTGGCCTCGCAAAGTGCTGGGACCAGCCAGTCATTTTTATTTTAGCCATTCTTTTAGGTATGTAATAATATCTCATTGTGATTTTAATTTGCATTTTCCTAATAACTAATAAAAAAGTTCATGTACACATTGTTCATCAGTTTTCTTTGAAAAAGTATCTGTTCAATTTTATTCATCTGGTTTTTAATTAGTTTTGTCTTTTTATCATTTATTTATAGGTTTTTATTCATGTATTCTGATACAATTCCTTTGTTAGAAACATATACAGCCAGTATTTTCTTCCAGTCTATGGCTTGTTTATTCATTTTCTTAGTGGTATTTTGATGAGCAGAAAGTTTTAAAATTCGATGTTCAGTTTATCAATTTTGTGTTACACAGTTTATGCTTTTTATTTTCTGTCAAAGCACTCTTTGCCTACCCTAAGCGGCAAAGATATTCCCTTGCGTTGCCTTTATGGATTACTTTTACATGTATAATTCATTCTGAATTAATTTTGGTTTATGGAATAAGAGGGATTGAGGTTATTTTTTTCCCCACAGGGATATCCAGTTGTTTAGGAACCATTTCTTACATACTTTCCTTTCCTCATTGAGTTGCTCTAGCAGCTTTGTTGAAAGTCAATTGACCATATATGTATGGTCTGTTTCTTGGCTATCTTTATGCTTTATGCGGGTACTACAGTGTTGATTACTGCTGAAATTTTGATAGGGATTGCATTAATATATCAGTTTAGGGAAAATGGACAAGCAGCTTCCCATCCATGAACATGTTACTTCTTCCGTTTGTTTAGGCCTTTGATTTCTCTTAGTGGTGCTTTGTGCTTCTCAGTGTAGAAGTCTTACATATACTCTATTTGGCTTATTCCAAAGCATTTTTTGTGCTGTTGTTAATGATGATTTCTTAAAATTTTCTTCTCTGTTGCAAGATTTGCTGATTTGTTAATTTTGAGTCTGTTGCTTCCAAGACACTAAGTTTTTCAACCCCAGCAAAATGCATTTCAGTTTAGTACTGAAAGAACATGGAAGTCAGTTAAAATAAATACACTTTGCAACATTAAATTTATAACATACCTATTCTGTTAATTAAGGGGTATCAGGATTCTCTCTACTTGATTGATGAATGTTGTTGTCCTCAGAGCTCCCTGTTTGATTCAGCTGGCATTTTTTGAGTCTATAAGGAAGTCCATGCTTTTTTTTTTTTTTTTTTAAATGGCTGTTCCTGGTTCCTTAATTAGATAGTAAGCCCCTAGAATATACAGTGCTTTAGATTACATCTGTCTTTTATTTGATAAGTGAATGAATGAATTGGGACTAGCTTTGGGCTCTCAAGGGTAGGAAGGTTTTTGGCTAGTGGAGAGTAAAAGAAGTTAAGGGCAAGAAATAAGATTTGACAACAGAAGGAAAATGACTGTGGTCTTTTAGGGTCATAATGAGTCTACCTTCCACAGGATAGCTCAGATTTAGAAATAGTAAGAACAAAATTAACATACACTTTGAGATCAGAAACCCTTTAAACCTAGGATTAGGGGCTTGTTTTCCCATTGGCAATAGAGAAAAATTTCGTATTTTTAAGAATGTGTGTAATGACACCATTTTATGAGTAGCCCTTGTAATTAAAACTTCTACTTAACACATTCTAGTGTCTTGCATTCCAATTGTAAATCATAGATATATTTGGACTGTGTTTTAATTTCTCATAGCTGTAAAAGCAAACTATCAGAAACTTGGGTGGTTTCAAATATTTATTCTTTTATAGTTCTGAAGAAGTCCAAAATAATTATAACCAGGCTGAGTTCAAAGTGTTGGCAGCGCTGCACTCCCTCTGGAGGATCTGATGGAGAATCCATTGCTTGTCTTTTCCAGCTTCTGGAGGCTGCAGGCATTCCTTGGCTTGTGGCCACTTTACTCCAGTCTTCAAGGGCAGCATTTCAGACCTCTCTCTGCACTGTCTTCACATCACCTTCTCTTCTGTGTGTCAGCTCTCTCTCTGCCTCTTTCTTCTAAGAACACTTTGAATACATTTAGGGTCCAACCAGATAATCCAGCAAAATCTTCCCATTTCATGAACTACAATGTAATCATATCTGTGAACTTCCTTTTTCCAAATAAAGTAACATTTACAGGTACCAGATATTGGGACGTGATATATTTGGGGGCCATTATCAGCCTACCACAGACAGTTATTCCTTTTCTTAGACCTTCACTTTGCTCTGAAAGTTGCTGTCAAAACACATTGGACTAAGGCTTTAAAGCATCCCAAATTATATACTTATTTTCTTGCTATATTTGTAATTTTTTAATGGAGTGTACCCATTAAATAAATGTCATGGAATCTGAATAGACTTAAAGCCTCAGATGGTGAGCCCGTTGTTTCAGTTACTAATCAGAAAAATATCAAATTAGGGAAAGAGATTGAATTGTACTTTCACTATCATAGGACTGATTTGTGACTCATAATAAAATTTAGTAGTATTTTTTAGTTTAGGGCATCCAGGAATTAATTCCTGGTTTTATAGGGCTTTCTTGGTTAGACTTGTACATGATCAGGCCTAACCTCTTCTATTCATTGTACCAAGTAGACTTCCTTTATTGGCCCATGAGAAATTACCTACCTGTTGATCTTTACTCCTACTCTATAGCTACAAATTTAGAACAAGTTCTCCAGGGCCTTAATGCTTGTGACATACTGAAATTAAGAGTTTTCCCATGTAAATGTATCATAAATGTATCGTGGCTTATTTGAATATGTTACATATAATAACATTTAGTTATACTAAGCTTGTTAGACAAACCTTTGTGTAGTGTTAGAGGAATGGGTCAGCTAGAGAACTTTAATGCAGCCAACTCCACTTTGGCTTAGGGATATTGCTTGAATATCCCAACTTTAGAGATTGCCAAAACCTCAGTATAGAAATAACTTTTATGAGCATCATTTAATAAATCATGGGCAAAGAAGATGAAACAATAAAACCTTAGTTTCCTTTTCTTCAGTACTTATATTAGTTTAAATATCTAAATGTTGATAACTGATAGATTTAATAGGAAGAGAAGTAGTTTGCCAAAGGGAAAATGGAAGCCTATTCCTCGTTGTCTGCCCTAGAATCTTTCTCCCAGCCTATATAATGTTTACCAGGTTGTTCTGTGTAACCAAATACCAGAATAGCATTTGCTGTGCTGGAGAGCATCTTCAGCAGTGTGGAGAAGTTCATCCTGAAAATGAATCTATTTTTAAAATAGTCTGTGATTTAATTAAAACTTACATACTTTACAAATTCTAGATTGAGAATTGAAGACATTTTGCTTCATGGTACTTGACACAATTTACTGAGTGACTTCGGCCTTAGCAATTTAGATAATAAATGACAAGGTACTTGCAATTTTTTTTTGTGCTCCTGATAATGTTTGCAAGGCAGTCAATGAAATAATTGAAATTATTGTACCATTAATTGAGGAATATATGAACCAGCCACACTGATGAGTCATGAAATGTACATATGGTTATTTGCCTGTTTTATTGTAAAAACTTGGAAAAAAGAGTAAGACATTAAAAAAAAACTATTCTGCATTAAAAGGACATTCCTAAGTTGCCTTTTTGAAATTAAAGTATAAAACTGTCAAAGTAATTATTGGATAAATACTATCTTTTAACGATAGATTCATTTTCTACACACCACTAAGGATCCTCTCTAGCACAGCAAATGCTATTCTGATATTTGGTGTCACAGAAGAACCTGGTAAGCATCATACAGGCTGGGAGTTCCTTATTTACTTGAAAGTAAGAAAATTTACATATCTGAATATGTGCTATTGTTACCCCCAGATTGTTTCACTGAAATGTCTTTAAATTTATATAATCTTTTCCCATTTGTTGGGAGATTGCTGAAAAGCAAATGACATATTGATCCTTTCAGAACTGTTAGATGAAAAGAAAAGGGAGAATCACAGAGAACATAGAAGAAAAGGAAGGAAGGAGATAGGAGAAGTGATAAGTGATCCTACTGGATAACTATTTAGTGAGCTACATGTACATCAGTATTTTAGAATTTATGAATTGGCATAAAGCTTCCTGTTTTTGACCTAGTAGTATAAAGAAGTTACTGCATATTGAAAACAAAAATTTTTAGACTTTTTAGAAAATTCACATAAGAAAGATTCTTTAATGAATTAATTTACATCTAAGTGTTTGAGTTCTTTAAAGTTATTTCTTACAAATCTGGCCTAGAATAACCAGTTATTAATAAAAATGTATGCTTGGGGATTTATAACTTTATAATCTTCAGGGCTGGGGAAGAAGATGAAAGTTGTCATGTTTATAATTAGATATATTTTTATTTAAAATTATGATTGTATAATTTCATAAGAAAGACCTAGTGGTCCATTGTATAATGCTATCTATAGGTAAGCACATTGTGTAAGGAAAGCTTCATACTCTGCCTAGTTTGTGCTCTTCCTGTTTCATGTCCTGCTCGTCTGCGCATACCTGTTGCTATTTGTGTTAGTCATCCTCTCTAGGTAAATTGTCCATGAGACCAAGGATTCCATGAACAAATTATCCAGAAAATGCTGTCTTTGCACGTTGTGACAGATCATGTCACTGTTGGATTTATAGCTACTCCAGTGGTCTAATTAACCTGGCAGTTGTCTCCTGTGTCCAACACTGTTGTCTCATTGCCTTGGCATTTAGTTTTCATCTTCTCATTACCTTCTTAACTAAAGCTCAGATTTACAATTTTTTTTTAAATGTAACCCCCTCAGCTGTCTCTACTCACTCCCTCCCACCCTTATTTTTGATTGGCAGTATCATCCAGATAAACAAAGTACAGATGTATCAGCAGGAACAGTGAAGGAATGTGTACAGAAGTTCATCGAAATTGATCAAGCGTGGAAAATTCTAGGAAATGAAGAGACAAAAAGAGAGTATGACTTGCAGCGGTATGGTAGGTACTTGTGTTGAGGAGCCACAGCACATCGGCAACTCTTAGAAGCACGCTCTGCAGCCGTTCCTGGGGAGCATTTTCCAGCATATGCTCCAAGTGTTGTTGCCTTTATTCCTCCCCTCCATCACTGTTTTTAATTATGCCCTATTATTAGCAGTGATTATTGTGTATCCATTGAGAAGTTAAGAAAACTACTAGGATGTGGCTTCTTGTGAAGCCTTGAAAGCTATTTTTTATTACATTTGAAAACTGTTTAATTACACATTCCTAATTAATATGCTTTATGTGTATAAAAACTTTTTTATTAAAATAAATATGTATGGATTACTATTTTAATTATAGTACTTTGAAGACTATACAGTATAAATGATAATCCAAATGAAGATACTATATATAAGATGACATAATAAAGCACCCTGCTATCTTTGAGCTCATTTTAGGCTGAGTTTCATGATTATCTTCAGGATAAACTATTCCTTATGATTGGTATAAATGATATTTTAGGAATGCAGATTACCTAAGCAATTTTAAAAGTCATTTCTTTTATGCTTTTTAGAAAATAACTTCTTAAAACAGTGACAAGCTGTTGTGAGAAAGAAAGAGAGAAATGTAGGTCAGGTTTGTCACACATAGACTGCAGTTACACAAAGTGATAGGCTGTCTTTCAGCACTGGCCTAGGGACAGGAGTCCCTCAGCCTTGTGTTTGAACCTTCAATATGCACTCCACATGCTAATGGGAGGAGTCAATAATCAGTTACAGCCCGAGGGGAAAACACTCAATCGCTCTCTCCAATAGCACATCAGGCTCAGCATTGACTAGGATGTGTTGATAAAAGCTGACTGTCTCTGTAGTTGCTTATTGAATCCCCTCCTATGCCCTACAGTAGCACACCATCAGATCTCACAAGATGATTTTGAGGCTTTGTTAGCACTAAGGTTATCAAAATTTGATTTGAGAAGCAAGCCTTTATTTTTAAAACACAACATTATAAGATGAGGCCAGTGACATTTGCAAGACATCCCTATTTATTTTCAGAGGGATTTCTACCAAAAAGAATTGTTTCTTAAAGGCTGTATGTGATACTTTTGTGTGGAAAGACTTGAACTGTTTATGTACTGGAGTATTTGTTTGTAAGAGTGACTTATTTATAGTAGTAATCAGCTCTAAGGCCGTACTACTTTTTAAAAGACTGATGAGCTTAATTTTTTCTTAAATATTAAGAACCTGATGAGTGTACCTTTGCAAATAATTTGGATTAATTTTCAAAAATGGCTTCAATATTGGGTTCTTTTGCTGGGTGCATAATGAACATCTGTCTAATGTATTTATTTTTTAAGTGTGTTTGTACTTCTTGCAAAAGAGTGTAGAAATGGCTTCATTTGATAAGTTCTACCCGTAGGTGTCTTTTTAACCTTGGTTCACATAATTTCTATGAAATAATTGAAACTAATGCACATGAATGTGTTGTGTGTTAGAAATGTATGTTCCTAAAGCCACTACGCTCTACTGGAGATGATGATTCTTTCATGTGTTTTTGCACATCTTTACTAGTCTCTAGTATATCGGATGCCAGTTTGCTTGAGATAAGAATAATTCACACAACATTGTACCCTAAAGAGTATAGGGTATATACTTTCAATGTCACTCTACATTTTTGCCACTGCACAGCCTATGTACTATTAAGAACATATTAGTGAAGTTGACTAGAAGCCTGCTTTCTAAAGAGAAAGAGGTAGGGAGGGATCACGAATCATAAAAATATTTTCTCAAGAAGCTACAGGGTGGGGTAGGCCAGAAACAGAAAGAAATAGGAAACCAGGTTAAAAGTGAGCATAGAATTGCATGAAGGAAGGTTTGAGAGATGTCAGAAGACAAATAATCACCATATTCATGACTTTTTCATTGTCTTCGAAAGGTCCTTAGAACTGTGGATTTCTTTTGAGCTTTGAGTCCTACTTTTAAGCTCTTAATGGAAGCACCTGTGGCCTGCTGTGTCACAGGGTACTCCTGTAGGTCATAGATGAGGTCACAGTGAAGTTTACACCAACTAAATACTGTGAGAGTTGGACCTGATTAATGATTCAGATAAATAGTTTGGAATTTATACAATATCAGTTTGCTCTGCAAGTTTTTCAGGCAGCATATTACTGAATTTAGCTGTTCTAGAAGGACAGCTTTTCGTGACACTTTAGTACCTCAGATTTAAGTACTAAGTATTTCGTCCTTTACCAGAGGCTCCAGATACTGAGATGACTTTGTTTCAATTTTAAATGGAGATTGACTTACTGTTTAGGTAAGAAGAGTATCCAAATATAATTGCTATTTTTAAGCCTTTCATACCAGAGCTATTTTTCAAAACTCTTGCAATAAACCTACTTTCATATTGTTACTTCTTTTGAATACTCTTATTAATTTTTTCTTCTTGACTCAGCTTCAGTAAAATGACTCCTCAAAAAAAAGGAAATGAACTTGAGTGATGATTTAGGTTTGCTGGAAGCAAAACCTTTGACAGTAATAATTTGTTAAAGACCAGGATAGGTTACCAAGAGAGAGAGAGTTTGTTATAACCAGGTCAAAGCACTCTTTTTTTCTGTGTCACCCCCTGGAGACATGGAAATAGCTTTGTTATACAGAACTCTTTTTACGTGTGGTGATAGTTCATTGTAAACCTTTCTTTTCATAGGGTGTGCTTTAAATATGTTTGTTTCCTGCCCACCATTAATTTGCAGTGTAAAATAAAATTGAGCTCTGTAATACTTGAGAAGGAGGTAGGAAATGCTTTATTAGCTGATCTTGAATGCTTTCTCATGTTTCACAGCTCCATGTTGGTGCTCTGTCTTAAGGAAAGCCTCATCAATATCGCCCACAGCCATATTTATCTAAAAGATAATTTAAAGGGACACTTCACATCCGTATTTCTTTGCTTCTCAAAAGAAATGATCAAATGTGTTCTTTCCAATAAAGAAGAAGTAATACTCCAGGACAGATAACCTAAAGTATTGCACATATGTTTTTTTCTCCCTCATTCCTACTTCTATATGCTTAGTTGACATTTTAGGGTAATGTTGGCCAGGCTGAAGAAAAGTAAATTTAAGAAAAAGATGAGTAATAATTAGTTCCCAGAGATTATATATTTTGAAAGTAATGTTAACTAGTGAATTTAATCAATTAGTTCTAGTTGGCATATTTACCTTATTGCTTCTGAGGATGCCTCCAAAGGCTGCTTCCAGTGTTCCCCAGAAAGGCATGTAGTTATTCAAGATTAGGCTTTGCATTTCAACCAGATGAGCACTTTGGAAAACCCTTTCAGGATTTATAAAATGTTCACATGAATAATACCTGTTGAGTAGATTTTGTTGCCTTTGTAAATCTTGTGGGGAGTGGTCCTTATATATTAAGCACATTAAAAACACATCAGAATTATATCATGGGAAAATAATGGTTGTCATGATTCAGTAGCTTTGTAATGTGAAAGTCACAGATCCCTGATGTCTTAGTGGCTCTATAGAGTGACACAGCTTATGAGTTAAGTACTTCTCTGTCATCTGAAGAGTAGCAAACCTTCAAATACAGTTAATCAGATTAAATAATGTTTAAAAGAATAGATTGTGTTTGGAATCCTTGCTGATACATTATTTTATATTAGGATATATCTTAGTACTCTGTTAGTGAATTATTTTGGTAAGGTGGAACCTTCACTCTACATAATTGGATACCCAAAACAGCGTGGCTCAGAGGGGATTGGGCCAGATATTGTAAAGTGAGTGTGCCTTTGCTCAAAGCTAATCAGCTGCTCTGCTTAGGACAAGAGGTCATTTCTGGTTTGTATTACACAATTTACTCCATCCCTTTATTACGATAAATATTTGGAAAGATAAGCAAATAAATGGAATGGAAGATAAGCAAATCTTAAAACAAATGAGGAACATACCTTAAAACCCCACCAACATGTGTCAGATACATCAACATGTAATTTCTTAAACTCAAAATAAGAATCCTTCCTGAAAAGCATGTTAGTGTTATAGAAACTCCGTAAGAGGGAAATATGTAGATAATATAAATTTTGGTTAACTGTTAGGAATAATAACTTAAGGCCAGTGGATATTTGTGAAATTGTGTCCTAAAGCTGACCCTTACAAAATACTTGAATTAGTGAGATTAGGGTCCATTTATGGTCATAATATTTCCATTTGATTTTAGGAATTTCAAAATTGGTTGTAAAAATTTGCTTCAGGTAAAACGTGGAAGATAAGCATCGGGGGTATGTTTTTTTGGTGACCGTTTCTGAGAAAAATAAGTATGTGAAATGATGCAGAAAATCCATCTCGACAATTGGGGACTGGCTTTATCTTGAGTGGGAGAAGACAGTATAGATAAAACTTTCTGTGCAGGTTCCCTCGCCCCAACTTACTTGTTGCAAGATGACTACTCACACTACTTGCTACTTTTACTTGAATGCAAATAACTGTTTGTGCAATGAAAATGTATTTTAGGATCATTTTTCATTGGTTTTGAGTAAAAGTTTGGCTACTTTCAAATAATGCTATAGAAACCTATGGGCAAGATTATAGTTATAATTCTGGGACACTTGAACAGACTTGAGAGTTCTGATTTAATAATGGAGAAGTCTAAGATTTTAGGAAGTTTTGTTTCCAACTTTAACCTCTCTCCCAACTTCCACTTGGTTACTTGACCCAATTGAAATCAGTGGGTCCAAAATCAAGACTGACTAAGTCACCTTTCTTATTTTTTCCTCAACCTTGGCTTCATATTACACTCTGTTTACTTCTACTTTGCTCTGGTTACAGTCAATGAATCAGAAATGCCAGTTGACATTTGTTCTTTTTTAATGTTGTTTCCCCTGTGTGAGCTTTTATTCTCACAGCTACCACAGTAGTCCATCCCCAGATTATAAAACATACCCAGATTATTTCCATATCTGCTAATTGGCCTTCCATTCTCTATTACTGCCTTCTCCCACAGTACTTTACATTTTGA